AAAAAAAACACATAGCCCCCCTCCCTCCCCCGCTCGTCGCTGGTCACCTGGCTCCTCCGGCTTCATTCATCTCAGGCCAGTAACCGGATCTCCGAACTAAAATAAAAAATAACAACCACCTCTATGGAACCGGTGCGAACCGGGTCAATCCCACCTCTGAGTATAACCCCATCCAGCACATGCTGAGTCCCTATCCTTGATTTGCCTTTCAGCTGATCAGGAGCACTTCTATCTCATCTGTTTTTTGTTTACAAGTTTATGATCACAGTTACACAATGTTTTAAAACACATGTTTACTTCATTAAGGTGTGTAAGAGCATATAAGTGTCAGGAAATGGACATGAAGCAGCAGGGGGAAAAGCTAGGTAACTGCTGTATACTGCAAATTTTGGATAATGAGTAGGAATTTGAGAATTTAAATCTTGATTTGTTGCATAGGGCTTATTCTGAAATCTGTCTTGTTATGAAGATAGCATTTATTGCCTACACTGGCATGGATTAAGATTGTTCTATATGCTTCCCATGATTTTTTGGCAGACGATTGATGGTTAAGATATGCTGGCAGCAAGCAGCAAGCACAAACATGTCCATGTTCTGTGTACATGTCTTCACCTATGCACAGGGCCATAATATTATCTAACCGGATTCCAAGCTAAGTATCAGCCTGGTGTTATAGAATGGTAGCTAAATTCTTGTTGTGTGACTTAGGCTGATGTAGGGGAAATGTCATAATCACAGGGGCATGTTCCTGCTCATTAGAATCCCTGCTGAGATTCCTTATGCAGTTTCTCAGCCACTAATTGAAGATCCCCACTTGGAATCTGGATAATATACAAATCTGTCTGACTTGTGTGCAGTGAGGGATTGAATGGTGTTCTCCTCCTGTAGTGATGTGATTTCCCAAACAGTGATGTAAGTCACACAAAAGGATTTTGGCCACCATATTTAATCCTTTGTGTCTTCTCTAAACTATAGTTCACAGTGTTATTTTTTTTCCAGCTTTAGCAAACTCTTCTAATCTCTACAAAATTCCTTGGGCAGTGTCCCTAGCACTCCCCACCCTGTAGGCTAAATGTATTGATGTCCCATAAATAAATGTGACATCTTAAGGTACAAAAATTAGTTTTCCTTTCTTCCAGTGAACAAGGGCTACCAATTAACCAGAAAAAACACAGGCTTAGCTTTTTGCCATGCTGATCACAACACCTTGATCAACATTATCACCCACTAATATCAAACTGCTATGGAAGTCATAAGAAAGGAACTGATAAAAAAGCTAGCAACAATAATGTTGATTAGTGTACAGAGTCCCATCTCTGTTTTGCGTGTCTGGTTGTCTTGCTTCATCTTAAGAAAAGCTTTCTTCCCCTCGTAGTCTTGAGAGAAACGGGTACGTGGTGCTCATTTGTGGAGAAATGAGCAAATTTGGAGAAGAACTGCTTATAATCCATGTTTGCTTGTAATCCTGTCCTGAGCTGGGTTATTGAAAAAGTCTTCCCCTTCCTAGTTGCTAGTTTCTGTGCTTTATTTCTATGGACCATGGCCCTAATTTGCTTGTGGGCTGGGGAACTATTTTCTTTCTAATATGAAACAAATCCTAAGGCTGTGAGGGAAAGCCCTTTGCCACTTTTAATATGAGGTTTTGCAGAGGTATGTTTGATAGTTCTTAAAGGTGCTCCATCGTTTTCTCCCTCTTGGGTTATTGAGATTCTCCATGCTGCTGTTCTGTTCGAGGCCAATGTGCATAGTGGTTGTTATTTAAATAAATAATTATCATTGTGTTTGATTTAGGAAAAGATGCCTTCTGAGTGCAACTATGTTTCACTACACACTGGCCAAAAGATGCCAGTTGTTGGCCTGGGGACGTGGAAGAGTGAAGCTGGGAAGGTAAGTGTGAATTCGGTGTTTGTGGGGAGAGGGATCGTGTGCTTAAGTTCTTTATATACAAGTGCAGTTACTGTGGCTGGGATGCAAGGTAAGGTCACATGATCAAGAAGTGTAATCGCTTTGCATACACATGTTTTAGGCTTTTAATTGTAATTAAAGGATTGGGCATGTTCCATGGGCTTGTACAACTTCTGTTCCTCCATTTTCCTCTTTCCTGTAGATTTATTTCCTCCATGAGTTTTCCTTTTTTTTTCCTTTTTTCTTTTACCATGGGTGGAGTTATACCTCCTCTAAGAGCAAGACTAGTTCAAACACTATCCAAGGAGGAAAACCCAAATGGTGTTCACCTACTCAGGGTAGTAATAAAAGCCTATTTTCCAACTATTTTTACAGTGTGGAAAAAATATGATTCCCCACAAAACCAGTCCTAGCTATCCAAAGGTCACAAAATAATGCCTTCTCTTGATGAAATCATGAAAGGGATGCTTCAAAAGGTTTTTCGATTTGTTTGTGTTTTAATTACAAAGGTATTAAGAGTTTAACAGAGATTCTACAAATACAATTTGTCAACTGAGTTATTACCTGCTATCTGAATCCCTGTGGTGTAAATTAGATTAATAAGCAAAGCATGTAAATATGCTGAATTATTTTATTGGCTCTGTCTTTGTACTTCTTAGCAGTCTGACATGCTGGAATTAAGTGGCTGAAACAGATATCGCCTTAGTGTCTTCATATCAATCTGCTGTTAAGGCACAGGAGCAAAACCAGTTGCAGGGTTTTTGTGTGGGATTGTATTGGATCTGACTTTTCTTCTCTGTTTTTTTGTGTTGTTCCAATGCAAACCAAAGTACCAAAACATTTGCAACTGCAACAATTTTCTGAGAGGAGGGTTGCATTTTCTGACAGAATTGCAAAGGTGCGAATATTTTTGGTCATGACTGTAAATAGTTGTTCAAACAATAGTTCCCATAATTTACTGTTCATGCGGACTTTAACAATCTGTTTCCTGCTCCCACTTCTGTTCTAACTGTGTTGAGACAACACAAGGACTCACTCTGGCACCAGTGCTCTGAAAATGACCATTTCTAGGACAGTAAAGCCAACGGCAGCCACACTTACAATGTTACACCTGGCCTAGATTATTTCGACAGTACAGTGTCACATGCTGTGGCACGGACCCAGTAAACAACAAAAGCACCTACTTTTATGTGTTACTTGTCATAATGGATTATATAAGACCAATCTACCAGCTTCTAACCTGTAACTACTGTGTCCCTCTTTTGTCTGGAAACCTAGACATTTTCTAAAAGACCTGAGGCCCAGCTCATCTTTTCAAGTATACTTGTTTACTTTTTTGCCTTCCTAAGGGTAGGACTATTTGTGTTTGGAGACATGTCTTAAATCTTTGTGTTTAAACAGAGGATAAAGAGTGCATAAACATCCACTTTATATTAATGAGAATCTTGATGCTCTATTTATCTTTTGCACATCAAAGTATCACAAAGCAGCACTGCTGTTAAATCTGACCCTATAAGAGTGCCTACATAATGGTGCTGTATTTGCAGTGTTCCCAGGAGTAATGCTGTTACCATACAGATGATCTGGTAAAATTAGGAAGAGGGCCAGGACTTAATCCAGATATCCTTTTGCCTTTTATCAGGTCATGCTAATGCTACGTGCAAATCAATCATACACCTAGAGTATGATAACTGTTCCATAAATAATATAAACCATATACCATGTTGGAATTAGGAAAGTAAGCATGTCAAAGTATCAACCTCGGTTTGAAATATGACCATGTCCATGGCTTGTGATTCACTTGAATCTAACAGTAAGAGTTATCACCCATTAATCCAGTTTCAAATTCTTCTCCAGCCATAGACTTGTAGAAAAATTCTCATTGTATAACTTCATTTCTGCATCTGAACAGAGGCTAGAAATATGCCTGCCACTGAATTATTTGCAGCTTTGTTATGGCTTCCTGAATTCCTCATTACTTGTCTTTATAGTGAAAGATTTCCCACAATATGGAGATAAGAAGGAATGTCTCCCACACTGCCTAAGTTCATTAATAACAATAATTATGTACTAATAAATCAATTAATGGCAACTCTTTCCTGGGTTTCCTTGATAGAGAGGATTCAGAAGTATTCTCAAAGGCTTTCATGGCTGGGATCTGATGGTTGTTGTAGGTTTTTCGGTCTGTCTGGCCATGTTCTTGAGTTTTTTCTTCCTAACGTTTCGCCAGTCTCTGTGGCTGGCAGCTTCAGAGGACAGGAGTCAGAACTCTGTGCTGTGGTGCAATTTGTGGGAGATGCGGTGCACCTACAACAACCATATTCAGAAGTAGTTTACCATTCCCTTCTTCTATGTAACCCAGGGCAACACAGGCTGGTTTTTATCTGGGGAAGAGCAGTGGGGAATCAAATCCCCAACCTCTGGCTCCGCAACCAGATACTAACTCACTGAACTATCCAGGCAGCATATAGGCCCTCTTAAATAGACAATCCCAAATTCCTGGGGCACTGTTTCCTGTCTCTGTCTCTTCTGTTCCATTGTGGATTCTGGCATGAAGGTAGAGATTATTGTATAATACGTTTTAATAGATCAGAACTCATTTTCTGCTAATTGCTGGCAGACCTATCTAGTTCTGTTCTTCTTCATCCTATCTTAGAAATGGTTGGTTGGTGGAGACAAGCCCCCCAAAGATAGTAGCCTGCTGTTCCCCTACAGAGGAAGGTCAAAGAACTGCATTTTTCAACTGGGTATATAGTAGTGGCCATCTTTTCTCTAGCAGTCCACTTGATTTCTGGACTCGCAGGAAGGATGACATGCTTTCCCCCTTCTTTTCCAGCCTGTTCACTGGCCAATGTGGAATTAGATGTACTTATCATCTCTGGAGCCTAGTTGAGTGCTCTAACGCAAGGCTATACTAGCATGCCACTTTTAATTTCTGTATATTGGGGTGGGGAAAGATCTTGTGAAACTTGAAAGTGTGCTGCAGAAAGGTATTCACATTTTGTTTATACTAATTTCCTTACTGTTGTATTTCAGGAAGTTTGTGGTGACCGTAAATCATTACTAAGACTGAGAAAAGAAAAATGCTGCAGTTAGTGTGATAAAGAGGAATTGGAATTGCTTGATCATTGTGACTAAAAGGAGATTCATTTCTCATTCAAGTAACCTTTCAGAACATCAGAACATTTTGTGTCACAGTCTCTTTATCTGTGACCCAGGCTCCCAGTAAGCAAAAGGAAATTAAATTTCACAAGCAAGTATGGGCTCTAGTGATGTTTTTTAATCTATAGACCAAAGGCTTTGGTCTCCCTTTTATGCTTATTATTTTATCACCTTTCAAACAAAAAGTGCAAAAGCTTTATGAGATAAAACAGCTAGATCTGTTTTTTGTATTATTATTATTTCCTCTTTTCAATATGGAGATAGAAGTCTAATCAGAGAACTGGACGAAGGACTTAGAAAAAAAATTAAACATAGCTCTTGGTATGGGGGCGTATCTCTACCTTACTGAGAATCGGTTACAAATTATATCTCTATGCTGATGTGCAACCAGCTGGGGGTACTGTGATAACCTCTTTGTTACTAGTTAACAGATGCCACTGTTGCATTAATATGGTGCAGGCATAGCCTTAATGCAGAAAAACAATTATCTATAAAAATATATTTCTTGCATTTTATGTGCTTTAAAAGGGTGGAACAGCTTTCCCAACCTGGCATCTTCCATAAACGTGGAGCTAACATTTTCATCAACCCCAACATCATGCTATTTCCAAACATATGAGCTCAGTAGTGTGATAATGATAGTTTCTTCTTAGCTTCTTATCTCACCCCTCCTCCAAGGAGCTTATGGCAGCCCTCTTTGTCCCCCTGTCTCCAATTCATTCTCATAGCATCCTTGTGAAGAGTTTTAAGTTAAGAGGTTGTGACAAAGCCGTCTAATGAGGTCTGGGGCTGAGCAGGTATCCAGACACTGGAATCCAAAGTCTAAAGTACTTATACAGCTCAGAATTCAAAATGGGATTGTGGAGGGGAGCTATGAGAGACACATTCAGAAATAGGGGATACTCTGAAAATCAGCATCAGTAGTTAGTCCCAGAACTGTTCCGAGTGGTAGCTGGGACATGTTCTGTCCTGGTTTATTCAACAGCTTCTTGTTTCTTGTTTATCAGGCAAAATCCAAAGAAAAAAAGGTGACACCTTAAAGACTCTTATATTTTAAAGAAAATATTTTCTTTTCTTTAAAGAAAAAATAGCAGAAGAAATAAATAGAATAACTAATCATTTTTTGAAGAATATGTTAGAATGCTGGAAAGAATATAGATACAGTATATGTATATTGAGTCTATTTATCTCACCACTACAACAAGTAGGATACTTAGCAAATCAGGATCAGTAGTTAGTCCGAGAACTGTTCCGAGTGGTAGCTTGGACATGTTCTGTCCTGGTTTATTCAACAGCTTCTTGATTCTTGTTTATCAAGCAAAATCCAAAGAAACAAGAAAAAAAGGTGACACCTTAAAGACTCTTATATTTTAAAGAAAATATTTTCTTTTCTTTAAAGAAAAAATAGCAGAAGAAATAAATAGAATAACTAATCATTTTTTGAAGAATATGTTAGAATGCTGGAAAGAATATAGATACAGTATATGTATATTGAGTCTATTTATCTCACCACTACAACAAGTAGTGGAGGCTCAGAATTTGCCACAAATCCTTAAAACTAAAATTAAAGAAATACTGTATTAGTATTCTGTTTTCCCGAAAATAAGCCCTATCCCAAAAATAAGCCCCAGTTAAGTGAAACCCCACCCTCCATCATTGTGCAGCATTATGCAGCAACCACAAGATGACATGACTGTAAAATAAAACATCCCCTGGAAATAAGCTCTAATGTGTTTTTGGAGCAAAAATTAATATAAGACCCTGTCTTATTTTTGGGGAAACACAGTAGATAAAGGGTTAATACAATAAGGCCTTGAATG